TTTTTGATTTATTGTAGAGATGAGGTCTTGCCAAGTTGCCCAGGCGGGTCTCGAACTGGCGGGCTCAGGAAGAAATTTTAAAATCACAAAACAACTGTAATTTTCCCTATTAGTTATTAAGTTTGTTTCACATGATTCCAGCTTACACTACAGTTTTACTGTCCCACACTACCATGTAAACCAAGAACTGCCAATATAGTACCGCCACATATGATAGAGCTTAAAAATATAGTATTATTATTTCAAACTACTTTTTTAGATGCTTTTAAGTTGTAGCTTTGATTTTATAACATAGTGCTTGTCTGTATCTCTGACAGGAACACAATCCACAGGTTACATGTCATGGCCACAGAAAACAAAATATTCCCAGAGAATAGGATTGCAGGTAAAAAACAAAACAAAACAAAAAAAACCTGGACTGTGGCATCAGGGAACGCTGGCGTTAAATCGTGGAACTAACATTTTTAGCTACGTGACTCTGTGCAAATTTCAGTCCAGGAATCTATAAAGGGACAATAATCCTGTCTCGTAGGGACATTTTTGGTGATTAAGTGAGATAGCAAACTTAATACTGAAGGTATATTATTGGCTATTATTAACAATTGATTAACTGTGGTCCAAATCCCGTGACCAAAATGTTTTTACATGGCAAACGTATATTTTCACAAATTTGTAATGTAGTGTGTAAAAGCAATTGTTTCATTTTAGAGTCAAGGTATATTTCAATAAAAATCTTCTTATCTGGTTTTCATTAGCTATACAGATTGTATCTCTATAGCTGAAGATGCATTTACTTACTTAGACTACTGGGCAGTGATTTTCAGTGAAAACCCCAGGTAATTATGTAATGTGGTATCTGAGGAATAGCCAAATCATTTGAATTTTTCATAAAGGAGATGGAAAATATTCCGTTACTGGCATCATATACAATCTCAATTAAAACAGATTATTTCAGAAGTCTTTTTGTTTTCCTCGTTCCCTTGAAAATTAAGTAAATTTGCTCTGAAATGTGTAAACATTATTCGATTAGTGTATATGATTACAGATAAAGCTGTTTTCAAAAAGCCCTCCAATAAGAAAAGTCTTTGGATAATCCAAAAATTGAATTCAAATAAAAAGTACTGAATGTGCCTCAAGCTTGTTTTAGGAGCAAAAAATGTTAGGATGAATGAGGCCATGCCTGTAGAACAGTATTCCACCTCGATTCTGCCAGATCAGATTTAACATAAACATTTTCTAAGCCTAAAAAAATAAGTCTTCAGTTTCTTCATAATAGCTTCTCCAGAAAACATCAAATAGAACACCATCTCTTTTATGTGTGTATCCTTCATACACATACACTCCATACAGTGGAATACATTCTGGTGAAATCAGTTGAATAGGAAATTGTATCCAAATTTTAAATATAGTAAATAATTTTATATTTTATATATATAGCTCCCAAACAATTAAGTTTGGTCTGGCAAAAAAGATTACTAAAATACAGTTAATTTTGTAAAATTCCAGTATTATATTTTCACTCAGTTATTACGGCTTAGAGTACCTTAAATTCCATTTGAATTTTCAAGAGGAGGTACTTAAACTATTTTAGAATCAGTGCTTTGAATGAATAAATGCAAAGTACTTTAAAGCTTAAAATTCTATATATTTTAAGTGTTACTATTTTAACTTCCAATTGTAAAGAACTGATCCAAGAACTTAAGAGAGACTTTATTAGTTAATTATAATCTTGTTTTTTTTTTTTTTTGAGTTGGAGTCTCACTCTGTCACCCAGACTGGAGTGCAGTGGCCACTCCCGGCCACCGCAGCCTCGAGCTGCTGGGCTCCGCGATCCTTCCGCCTCAGCCTTCCAAGTAGCTGGAACTACAGGCACGCGCTACCACACCCAGCTACTTTTTGATTTATTGTAGAGATGAGGTCTCACCAAGTTGCCCAGGCGGGTCTCGAACCGGCGGGCTCAGGCAATCCACTCACCTCAGCCTCCCAAGGCACGGGATTACAGGCTGAGCCACCGAGCCTGGTTAATTATAATCTTATATTGTGACTATGAAAAGTTGCCTTATTTCTCTTCCTACATTCTTCAT